AGCTTGTGAGGAGCCCCAATGCCTCCCAAAGGATTTTTTTTGTGTGTGTTTTGTCTTTTCTTCTGGTACCAGGAATCAAACTCACGACCTTGAACTTGCCAGGCCGGCGCTTTGCCACTGAGCTAAATCCCCAGCCCCCCAAAGGATTTTTTCTCATCAGGAACAGAGAAAAAGGCTAGTACTTGAAGAGGCAAGTTTTTCTGTGTGCCAGTGTCAGCTCTGAACCTCTAAACCGGTGGCTCACAGGTGCTGCAGCGGGTATGCTGAGCCCTCTCTGTTGGCCAACAAGTCAAGTCACCCCAGACCTTGAAGGAGGGCAGCTGAAATATTTTCCAAATCTAAAAAAGCATTTAGAAAATTCTACATTGGCAGACCATCTCACAAGCCAGTGCGAAATATACAAGGCATGTTCTAGCACTGCAGCAGCTGCAGAGGAGAACTTCAGTAACAGGTTTTATAGTTATATAATATGGAGACAACCCTAAAGTGTGGAATTCTCTGTCAAATAATTTGAAGTAAATGAAAGCACTTGGGAATGCTTTTCTTACTTTGTTGGGATCACCTCATGCTTGTGAGCAGCTGTTTTCAGCTTTGAATTATATCTACTCTGACACAAGAAACAAACCAACAGATGATCTGAGATCCGTGTGTGTTGTTTTCAAACTAAGGAAGTACGAGCGAGTTCGACAAATTAACATCATACACACAACAGCAAAGGTCATATTAAGTGTGCAAAACTCCGCCAAATGCAAGCTTTTACCTTTCAATAAAAAGCTGTATCATGGAAAACTCTGTTACTGCGTTTTTAAGACAAAAGATGTTGATGTATGAGTTGTTTTTTTTCTAAACCAAAACCTCAGTGTTCGGGTTTAACTGCAGTGTTGCGATAAATAAGTGGATTTTGGGTTGCAGTATAGGCACTAGTGTCTAAAAGGTTCAACATCGCTGCTCTACACACAGTCTGGCCACCTGATCAGAAGCAGTGTCATGTAGAGAAGGTTCTGCGCATGAAGCAACTGTGTAAGACTGATATGCAAGCACCCGTCACTCATTTATGTAAGACAATGAAATGGTCTAAACCTCACCCTCCCGTTCACTTGCTGAAATGGAGTGCTACGAGGAGAGACAGGGGGCAGTGGTTTGCGGAAGACAGCCCTGTGCTTTGACAGGGCTAGAGCATGAATTGGTTTAAAAGTCATCATAAAGTATACCCAAACTGTTAAGATTTTGAAGGAAACTGGAAATACGCAGCAGTTAGGTACTTATTGTCTGTATTCCTCTACCAAATAAATCACAGTAGTTATTTTTATAAAAATAGGGATAAATTAGAAAATTAGAGACTAACGAACAATGAAATATGAAGGGCAATCTCAAATTAGAAGGAAATATTATGTTGTTCTTAAAAAGCCCATAATATGTGAAGCTAAGGTGAAATATTTATATTTATTCCTAGATTATACATTTGTTTTCCTAGCACTCTATTTCCTTAAAACAAAGTAAAACCAGTCACATGATAACTGTTCCTATTCACAAACGACAGCCATTTCATATTTTGATTTCTGTTTTTGTCACTAAAATAGATTTTTTTCATTTTTCTTTTGTTCTGCTCCTTTGACCAAGCCTGGATAATTTGAAGGACAATTTTTTCTTTCTTTTTTTCTTTCTATTTTTTTTTTTCTCTTGGGAGACGGGGTCTTGCCATATAGTCCGGCTAGCCTTGAACTCACTAGGAAGCCCAGGCTGGCCTCGAACTTTCAGTGATCCTCCTGCCTCAGCCTCCTGACAGCTGGCAGTACAGGCATGTGCTGCCACACCTGGCACTTTTTTTTTCACTCAGAACTTCCTTTACAATATTCTACACTTAAAGTAAAAAAAAAATTATACTTTCAAAATGCATATACAGGGGGCTGGGGATTTAGCTCAGCGGCAAAGCGCCTGCCTGGCAAGCGCAAGGTCGTGAGTTCGGTGCCCGGTACCGGAGAAAAACCAAAAAAAAAAAAAAAAAAAAAAACAACAAAATGCATATACAAAGGAAATTTTCCTTTGCAGTTGGATAAGTCATAATTAAAAATCCATTGTTCAAAGTAATTTAACTTTCCTCCTTTAAAAAAATTAAGTTGCTGGCATTAGAAATTACTGATCATTTGTCTTAAATAGGATACAAGTGTGCAGACTGTAGAGCGTAAGGCCCAACAGGCTCAGACATCCATGACCCACTGCTCACATGTGCAGTTCCTGACCGCCAGCCACATCCTGTTCTAGGGTGCACGGAGCACACAGCAACACACCTTGTGTTTGGGGATCCAAAAGAGGTGTCACTCATCGGTGTGGCAACTTGATGAGGCTTCCAAAAGCTGTTGTTTTTTTTTCTTGATCTATAGACTGTGTTCTGGGACAATCTGATGCCCATGGATGAATCTGCATGTTCTGATATTCGTGTGTCTTTTAAGAATAAAAGCAAGTCTTATGAAAGGCTGGCATGGCAAACAAAAGCAAGTCTCAGTGAATACAGTTACATTTCCACAGGCAAAATATTAATTTCTTCAGATTCTACATTTAAATTGATAGTAAGGATAAAGAATAAAAATTTGTTTTATGTCACATTTTTCCCCATCCATAATTCTTAAAGAGATGGGTAAAAATAAGATTAGAGTTATATATTTGTCAGTGAACAAAATTCTGCCGATGGTATGAGAACATTAAGGCAGTATGTGGTGGTACTGCACAGTGCTAAATTTCATTACATCCCTCCTCACAGGGTACTGATCACCCAATTGCACGGCCAGGTTACTATGGGTCAGGGTGGCAACAGAACTCTTGACAGTAGGGACAGGGAGAGAAGACACAGAGATTCACAACCACTAGTCTAAAAGGTCAGAGGTCTGCTCTGAATGAAGGCCAAGTTGGTTAACTAAAAACTATGAACTTAGTGCCAGAGAGCACCCTTTCATTGTAGTTTTATAACTGACAGCATCAAGAACAACTTTCCCTTATTGGTGAAAGGATAATGCCATGGACAAGCAGATTCCCAAGGTCCTATCTAATCTAAACGCCCGTGATCCAGTCAGGTCCAAATTCCCCAAGTATCTGTAATGAGAAAATCAGTAGAACCCACAGCCCTGAGATGCACATAGATGAGATTCCTCAGGGGAATGCTGGATGGAATGCTGTTTTCTTTGAACCCTAAATTTTGTGTCCCGTTAAGATCCGACCTACAAGTAGAATTTCTAAACCAGTGATGGTCTTCTGGATCTCTCTAACCTATTTCAAAGGTCCAAATGATCAGGAAGGCCCAGATGATCAAGTCACCTTCTTGTGTATGGCCTCTATACTTTTGCAATGTTCATCAAGATTATTTTTTTGATACGGTGGCATATCACTGCGGCCAGAATAGAAGCGCTTTAGTTAGCTGGGCAGACCCGTAATCCCCACCGCTCTGGGAAGCTGACGCAGGAGCACTGAATGTTCAAGCTCAGCCTTGGAAATTTAGTGACCTTAGAAAGACCCTGTCTCAAGATAAAAATAAAACAGGGATGAGGATGTAGCTCAGTGAAGAGGCCCTGGGTTCAATCCCCAGGACCATTAATAAAGAATAAAGAAAGTGCTGTGCTACAGTGGTGTCCCAGATCATGAACAGGCTCCATCAAGTCTGGAAAACGATAGCCCTAGACAATCTACAGATACTGTAGTAATCTCAAAGGTTCAAAGCAGTTTTTATGAATGTAAACAAACTACTGTCTGGATGATGACCTTTTCGTTAGGGAAGTCATACACAATTCATCTGCCTTCACTCCTTAAGCCTTAATAATTTCAGATTGGAGGAATGGGAGTTCTAGATAAGTTAAGTATTTTGATCACAGTGTATGTGATACACTGTGAAATCACCTAGCTCTGGTCTTAATCTATGAAATACTGTACAGTGACTCAACAGGGTGGTTCTGAAGTCAGACTGCCTGAGTTCAAGTTTTGTCTTCCTTTGTCACTGTGTGACTTAGCAAATGATTCGACCTCGCTGGTCCTCGGATTCCTCCTTTATCAAACAACAATTATATGAATCCGTATCTCATAAAGTTGTTGCAGTAACAAAATGAGACACTATATATAATGAGCTGAGAATAGTGTCCAACACATAATAAGGGTTAGCTCCCTTGGCTAATGGAACATCTCATGTTGGAAAAATAAATTCTCTTTAAAGCAGGGCTGGTTTGCAGTAATGAAAAATTTTAAAAACTCAGCATGTACCTATAACCAAAATTATCTTGTAAAAGAAAGCTATTTTAAGTTCTGTTACACTGTATTACAGAGGATATTTCTTTTTCTTATTTGCACTCTGCCATGTTTCTGTTACCAGATGTTATTTTATTGACCTGCCAAAACTGGTTTCCTAATTTCTTCAGGATTAAAACACCAAACAGAATACTGAAGTTCTGTTGCACGCTGTTAGCGGCCAAATGAAATAGCAGTGCCTCAAATACCAGTGAGGCTGTGATCTGAAACATGCATTTCTAGGCAATTTCATTACTCAGGAACATCACAGAACGCATGTAAACAATCTTAGATGATGTAGGTCAGTCACCCAGTGTGGGCTTGTGATGCGATCAAGACACGAAACACACATGTGAGGGATGGGACTGCTGCTAGCATAACATGGGAGGCTATTTCACAGTCAACTTTTTTTATAAATAGAAGGAGTATACCCTAAAATAGTAATAAAAATGCAGTATGGTACATACATAAGCCAGTAATATATTTATTATCAAGTACTATGCAGTATACCTAACTGCATGTGCTGTACTTTTGTATACTGGCAGAGCAGTAGGTTTGCTTCTCTGAGCATCGGCACGCATGTGATGGGAGAGATGTGTTGCCTTACAACCTTACAAAGGCTACGATGTCACTAGGTGATAGGATTTTTTCAGCTCCACCATAATCTTAGGGGACCACTGTTGTACTTGGACTGTCATTGACTGAAGAGTCATTGTTCCTGCAACAGGACATACCAGGAGCAGCTACAGCAGCAGCACCAGCAGAAACAGCATGTGTTGTTGGGCCTCTGGTTTCCAGGAGTCTGGGACACAGCAGGTGTTCCTTCATTTTGCGTTTGCTGTCTTTTTCGCATTTCAGCTACTTCAGGACCCAACTGGCTGAAAGGAGAAAAAAACCACAGGATGTGACAAAAGTGCCCTCAGGAGAATTTGCCTATGCTAAAGGACACAGAGCTTAAGGAACAGTGGAATCAGTAAGCTTTAGCAGTGAAATCAAATATTCTCAGAGGGGAAAAAAACATATTGGAAGCAACAAAACTTTGAGGATAAAATTCTACCATTATCTGCTGCATAAACGTATAGCAATGCTGCCACATAATCAAAATCATCGGTCACGGTAAACATGGTAAGGTTTGAAAATTCATTTTTAAGTTCCTTCTTTATTCAAGGATGATTAAATAAGCTTTCCCTTAGGAGCGCCTTTAATGAGTGCGGGGTGCATTTGACCAGCTTCTCCGCTGATGTTTATAGGGAGGCAAATTAAGCTTTACAAACCATCCCTGCAAAGCTTCTGTCTACATTAACACAGTGAGGAAGGTCAAGGTGAGGAAGGTCTATGTATGCTGCCCTCTCTCCTCTTTCAAAACACTGGATCTCCTCTTTGGCACCTTTAACTCATCAGAGACCTAACCTTGAAGGCACTGATAACAGACCTTACTTTTGGTTGGAAGTCCATTTTCAAAAAGCATCACCTTTCTTTCTTCATCCTCTAAAATTTATTTTCATTTAAAAGAGAATCCGGGGAAGACAAAAAGCCATCAAACTGGAGGGGATAACTTCGGCAGGATTTACTAGCAGGTTAAAAAAAAAATTGGGATACAAATGCTGTACCTATGACCTGACGAATCAGGGCAAATGAGCTGCACCTATATAGAAAATCAGTCCTCTTTTAGGACTAACCTATAGCTAAAAAAGGTTATTTTAGTATATAATATTTAGCATGAACTTTCAGCAAGAGGAATAAATTCTACTGAATTATACTTTTGATAACTATGCCATATAAATAATTCATACACATATATCGTCATATGTATCTTAGAGCAATGCTGATTAACCTATAATGTGCTTCGGGTCATTCTGCCGTTGTGAGCTCAGTGTTTTTTTATTTTTTGGTACCGGGAATCGAACTCAGGACCTTGCACTTGCTAGGCAGGCGCTTGTGCCATTGAGCTACATATCCCTGGCCGAGTGAGTTCATTTTTAAAAATTCTATTTTCGGTTCTGAATACAATGGTAAGTATCTTTTAAAAGTTTACTGTTGAAAACAAAATAAACATTTCTTTTGACCAGAAACTAAACAGAAAACATCTGCGGTAGGTAAATAGGGGCTAAAGCCACAGACACTTTTATGATTCATGTACAGAAACAGAAAAAGGCGAAGACCCGCTCCAGTGAGATGTAAAGTGCTCAGGCATGAGAAGCAGGACACCAGATTCCAAGTTACTTGCATGAAATCAGCGGTTGTGGTTCTGCCACCATAAAGGTGTCAAAGAAACTTTTTCTAAGCATTCAATGGTACCCAACTGCTGAAGAATGAAGATATAGAGAAACCTGTCCAGATAAGACCTAGACCAAGGAGCCCAGTGGTTCAGTACCGAGCGAGGCACATCTCCAAAACCATTTCTGGTTGGAAGGAATCCTGAGATACAAATGAAAGATTTGCTTCAGGACTGAGCCGCTTGAGACTAGTGGAGACAAAGAGAAAGATTAGATTAGGAAGGCAGGTGAGAGTGAGAACTACACACCAGAAGGTAAAAGGCCTGAAATAGAAAAAGAAAGCCAACTCTACAAGTTTTTGGCCTTTCTGCTCCCAACTGAATAATTTGAGCTCAAATATTCTCTCAGTCAAATGCAAATCACAGAATCACCTACAATTACTTTAATGGCATAAATTTAAGTTAAACAATGTAATAAAGAATGCCACTCATATTGGAAAAGAGATTAAAAAATAAGAATAAGCAAATATTACATAACAGCCATAACAAGTGAAATGGAAAACACATAACCTTGAAAAGATTCAGATGGGATAATCTCCCCGCAAACAACCGCAAAAAGAGCAAGTGATGCTGCCACAGACTACACCAGTATGCAGTACAGACACGCAGCACAGGAGAACGGAGACGTGCACAGTAGTCATACTGAAAGGCTCCAACAGGCAACCAACACGGTTTTTCTCATGAGGGGAGAACTCACAGATTTTCAGGGAAGTGGTATTTTAAGGCAATCTGGCTGAGAACTTCTCACAACTGAAAGAAAACAAAACAAACACCTAGAAAGAACATACCACATGCCAAACAGGATGAATAGAAGAAAAATATATCCAAACACACAAACAATATAGTAAAACCACGGGTCGACAAAATAAAGAAAAAAACCCAAATCAGCCTCGAAGAAGTAACACTTTAACTGACAGCAGACTTTTCCTGAGTGGTATTCAATGCCAATGACCGTGAGCAATAGAGAAATGCTTTTCTGGTGCTGTGGGAGGGTAACAGTCATTTTACAATGTTACACTCAGCTAGATCAGAATTTAATAGTAGGGATTATTTTTGATAAATTAGCTGAATTATTAAAGTTTAGCTGGGCCCCACTTCAGTCAGAAGACAAAATTGGTTGGAAGGTGTCAGACTATATTTATAAGCACTGAGATTGGTTTTAAAATATGACACTGTGTCTAATGACAGGCTAAAACAAAACCATGTCTTTCCTTATTCGGAAACAATCAAGAACTAAGTTTAGGTGACATATATTAGAAAACGTAAGCGCTATGCCACCCCTCACTGAAAGCGATTTCAGAGATACCATAACGTCTCTGCATTGCTATCTTACAGTCATCCTGTCATCTTCTACTGGGCTTCTGTGATTGGAATATGGTTTTTCCTCACCAGAACTCATACTGAAACAATTCTGCAGTGTGATGATGGAAAGGTGTTGTGGGGCCCTTAAGAAGTAATTAGGTCACAAGGGTTCTACCCTCATGAGCATGTTAATGTACTTCAGAGAGTTGGCTGGCTATCATGAGAATGGGTTGTTATCAAGCAAAGGTCCACCTTATAATGTCTCTCGTTCACCACTGCCTACTTGCCATCATTTTCTAAGCTAACTTGAAGCAGCCTGTAGCCCTCATCAGAAGCCTAGATCATGAACTTCTCAGCATTCAGAACTATGAGGCAAACTGAAACTCTTTTCTTTATAAGGTACCAAGAGTTACGTTTTCTGTTACAGCAACAGAAAACAAACTGTGACATGGCCTTAGTATGGCCCTGCAGTGGACTGAATGAGTCCCTCCAACCCTAATCTCATGCTTCTGGCTTCTAGAACCTTGAGAGACACGTTTCCATTGCCTTTAAGCTATCCAGTGTGTGGCCTTTTATTATGGGAGCCCAAACTGAGTAACACCGACACAGGACGACTCCATTCTCTTTGAAATATACTCTCTTCTCCTGCCTTCCTGGGTGCCGCTCTCACCTGTTTGCCTTTTATCTCACTGGTTACTTCTTTCTCCTTCGTGGTTCCCTTTTCATCTCCCTCACCTTTTAAAGTTTGTATGCGCGCAGTAATCTGTACTAAGAACTCATTTCTATCATTTCTTTCATGAAATTATAGATTTCTTTTTTTTTTTTTTTTGGTTTTTCTCCGGTACTGGGAACCGAACTCACGACCTTGCGCTTGCCAGGCAGGTGCTTTGCCGCTGAGCTAAATCCCCAGCCCCTATAGATTTCTTTTTAACTGGATCTACTAGCTGTCTTCACAGAATTACCAAATTCACATGTCCAGTAAGATGATATTCTTGAATTGAGGACTCATAATCCACCTACCTATCTGACATTTCCACTTGGCTTTGTGAAATTTAACATATTCTAATCTGACTCTATTATCTTTACTCCAAAACTTTTTTTCTCCCACAGTTCTCCCACTTTCAGTGAGGAAGAAGGCTCATCTGTCTAAGTATTCAGATGGAAGGCTGTGGACTCACCTTGGATTCCTCTATTTTATCTCCACCTCACATCAGCAGACCAGCAAGTGTGGCCTCCATTCTCCTTCGATTTCCCCCACTTCCCATCTCTTCCCCTTCCTATTCCATCCCATTCTCTTCTCAGCACAGTGGCCAGAGCATGCCAGCAGAAACATAACTCAGAGAGTTTCAACAAATAATATTCCACTTGAACTTGCTAAAAATCTCCCAGAGGCTTCTCATCTTATTCAGCATAAAAGCCAAAGTTTCTGCAATGAAGCCTTTACTCTCTTGTCTCAGTGTCTTCTTCTCTCACCCTCATTCACTCTGTTTGAACCACAGTGGCTGCCTGGCTGCCCCTCAGTCCTATCTGGTATCGCCATGTGTGGCGGCCTCTGCACTTCTTTCACAGTCGGAGCTCGACTCCTTCACGTCTTTACTGAAATATTACATTCTCAGTGAAACCTTCCATGATAGTCTTATTTAAAATCACAACTCCCTCATTCCACCCCCAGCATGATTAGCACCTTTTCCTGTTTAGCTTTTCTCTACCTTAGGTATTGACATTGGTAACCTGACAAGTTTTACATGTTTATCCAACTCATTAGAAGGTAAAGTCCATGAAAGCAAGATTTCTGTTTGTTTTGCCCATAGCAATGTTTGGCATATAGGAGGTCCACGTAAATATTTATAAGATGATGCCTTTCACAAGTATTCCCATTAATAAAATTCAGTGAAATCTTTCACATTCAACATTCAAAATTATTAATTTCTTAGCCAATGCAATTACACAAGAAAAAGTGAGTAAGAATTTAAGAAGAAAACACAGATTTTGGTTTATAAGTGGTATGGTTATCTACAATAAAATTCTCAGAGACTCAACAATGAGACCAATTCAAGAGGAACACTCCATTTTCAAAAATCAATATATACCTAATGGACTAGTAGCAATTAATTAGCATATATAAAATAAAAACATCATTCCAATGAATAGCAAATGAGAAAAATGTCTAACAAAACTTGAACAAGAACTTTATGGAAATACTATGAAACTCTCAAAAACATAAAATAAGACCTGAATACAGAGATAGGTTGTTTTCTCACGTGAGAGAACTGAAATCTTTAAAACTGCCAATTTTCCTAA